GGCTCCGATGTCTTCTCCACGAGTCCATGACGAAGGCAAACACTACGTGTGTGTTCTCCTCCGTGAATGACTTTTCTCCGTGCGCGATCCACCATTCTCCTCCGCGAACCATTTTTCCCTACGCGAACTACCTTCTCCTCCACGAACCACTATTCTTCGTGCGCGAACCACTATATGATTTGAGTTATTATACATGAATTCGATGTTTATAAGTGCTAGAAACCTTTTAGTATGCCTTTTGGTGACAAATAAATGGTGATTGAGCAATCCGAGTCCATAAAAAGCCTCAAATTTGCAAAAATTGCATTTTTGCACAAGTACGAACTTTGCAATCACATTGGACATAGAAACATATGTAAGAGTTTTATAAAGCAATCTTTGCTCTTTGTTCGTTTGGCACCCAACAATGAAAATGTCTCACCAGGCATAATATATGACAAAATTAGGATGAGTAATCATTATGAGTTATATGATTGAATGTTAGATAACCAATGACTTTAGAATCACTTAAAAAAGGATATTTAAAACTCAAAATATAATTAAAAAAAATAGTGAGCAAAGGTTAAATTGCCAAAATTAGATGAAAACATCAAATTTTTTATTTTTTTTTTAATTTTAGGTACAACAAATGATAAAACCAAAAGTTGGGTTCAACATAAGAGTTATAAATAATTTTTTAGCTTTCTAATGAGAGAAAAATCAATTTTGTAGCATAGGTATAATATTAGATGTAGTGTTTATACGTAACATAGTTCATAGAAACATCAGGTAAGATTATTTTAGATAAGGTAAATAAGTCAAGATGGGATAAGTTGAAAGCTTTGGATATTTGAGAACTATGTGTGTTATGAATTGTGAATGACTAATTTTGGTGCTTAACCATCTAGTAAGACTAAGTTTTGACTTAACAAAGATATTGTTATAAAGACTAAGTCCAAGACTTAGCACATATGTTCAATACCAAGTTTGAGGCTTGATAAGTGTGTTTATATGATATAATGTGAATTGTAATGTGTGAATGTGTAAATCATGCATAAGTTTATCGGAGGTTTGGTGAAGGAGTTCAATTAGGGAGGTTTATACAATCATTTATTGTAACCTTGAGACCTTATTAATTGGGATTTCCTCGTCAACATGTTGAGGAATGAGTACTCATGCACAACTATGAGACCTTTACTGGACTTAGTTGAACATTAAACTAGTGAGGGTGGGGGTAGTGGAAACCCATAATGTGGTGGTCCTTTGCCTACTATGTACTCTTAGGCTACCTCAAATAATAGGTTTCGGATTTGGCCATCTAATAAGAGACTAGATCTAAGACCTAACAAAGATGTTATGATAATTGTGATATTGGTACCACATATGCATAAAATTAAGAGCATAAAAGTCTACATGTCACGTCTCCTTAATTTTGTTAATGAAAGTGTATATTTGAAGTGTTTAAGTTCTACCTGGCCTTTTTATATATTATACAAACATGTGTAAAATGTATCTTCACTTTTTTATATTCGGATTATGTGTTTGATATTTGGGCTAAATGACAATTTTTAGGTAAATATCTAGTTGAGTAAGATGACCTCAGGAGAGATGAAACTTAGGTTTCACAATTTTATTTTATGAGTTTTCTATAATAACATGTGACATTGAGTATTGAGACTAATTATATTTATCTTGAAAATTTATTTGAATTTATGTTTTTTGTTTTTGTTTGTTTTATAAATTTTTGTAATGGTCAATTAAGTTCAAAATTATCTTCTTTAATTATGTTTTTAATTAAAATTTTATTCAATAAATATTGTAAATGTGAACCTTTTATACATGTCAAATAACTAAGTTTTATTAATTAAATTTTAATATTTTAGTAAATATAAAATAACACTTTTGGGGTATCACAAGTGATGTGAAAATATTGATATTATTTTTGATGAATAAAATAGTAGAAAGGAAGTGATACCCCATAATTACCAAGTAGTGAGCTAGTGATGTATTGAAGATCCTCACTTAAACCAAACATGTCCACGTGTTGCGGATGAGAAAAGCTACGATAAATGATCAATTTAACCTAAGACATTACTTGTTGAATTAAGGTTTATAAGAGAATTTAGTCTCTACCTCTGATGTTAAAAGATTTTATTGATAAAGTATTCCCACCAAGGAGGATTTTAATGATCTTGAAAGTATTAAACTCACGTTATGATACACGTTAGCTCATATCCAATCCCTAATCATTTGTGCCAATCAACCTAGTCAAAATTAGTTTGTTTAAACTTAAAAAATAGTGATTATAACAAAAAAAAATTCTAAAAACTTTTTTTTAAAGAAATAGATAGATGTTGCTTTTAAAAAATATTTATTTTTTAAAATAAAAATTAGACAAATACATAAAAAAAACTATAAAACTTATTTTATTAAAAAAAATATTTTTAAAATAAGTTTTAAAAATAAGGATCCATTATTTTATTTGAATTAATCCCTATAAATAAGTAACATTATTAAACATAAAGAATGAAAAATAAATATATTTTAATAGTTATTAAATAAATTGATTTTGATAATATTGTTAAATAAAATTTATTTATTTCATTTGAATAATGTTATCAAATCATGTTATTTATTTAATTTTTTAATCATGTTATTAAATAAATTTATTATTATAATATTATAAATAACATTATTTATTATAATAAATTTATTTATTTATTTTAAATGTTATTTATTAATTTAATTAGTTAAAATTTATTAAATTAAACATTATTATTATATCACTTAAATTGTAACATTGCCATGAATTGATATTTAGTATAAACACATATTAAATTAATGATAAAATCAACATTGTATATCGATAAAAATTGAAAACTAAAAATATAATTTAGTTTATATTTAATATAATGCGTTTGATTGTTTTTCAAATTATAATGTATAATAAATAATAAATTTTAAACATTTTAGGATCATTTTATAATAATTTTAATATAAATGTTTTTTTTCCCTTCAAATTCTCAATATCTTATGCCTTACCTAATTTATAGAATTTTTTTTATTTTAATCAAATTTGAATTCTCTTTAAAATTAGTTTATATTTAATTAAATTATACAAAGTTATATTAGACTAAAGTATTTTTTTAACCTTTTACATGATATAAGAGAGGCAAATCACTATTATTTTTTTATATGTCAATGTTTTTTTTTTTTTTTACAAAAGAGAAAAGAAAGAAAAATAATAAAAATAAACAAAAACTATAGTAAGATACTCCACTTGCATGATCATGTAAGTAAGTTCGAATCTCATCAGGGGATGGTTAAAGAACTAGATGCAATTACTCTTCCTAACACTTAACTTTATTGATATATCTGCACATTTATTTCCTTCATGATGAATACGAGTCACAAAACAACCAATCCTTGCTAAGCATTAACTTGACTTGTATGATTTCATTTTTGTATTGGTGATGATGTTGTAAATCTTAATTTATAAGTTGCACCACAGATAGAGAGTCTGAAAAGCATTCAATATCCTTGTAACCTTTGCTCCAACAAAATTTCAGACCATAAAGCTAAGTTTTAATTTCTATTTACAGAATATCTTAACTTTCCACTTGCTCATAAAAGACCCTCTTGAGCAAGCCTTCATGATGCCTACATAAACCACTTATCCTTACTTCTTGTTGTTCATCTGAAAAACTTTCATCAACATTGAGGGCTTTATCCCCTTGAGGGGTTTTTGCTAGCGCATACTCTTTCCTCTCATTTGATCCATGAAGTGGATGTTAAAGGCTCTTTTAGTTTCCTCACATAAAGCCATGATCTTGATGTGGATGTCCATATACTTGATATGATCCTGCCTTTAAACACAACTTGATTTCTTGCTAACCATATTTGTCATAGGTTAATAGTCATAATGACATTCTCTCTTCCAATGATCTCTTGAAGCCAATACACTACTTGATCTTCTATTGTGGAGAGAAAGTAATGACTTATTCCTAAGAACCTCCAAGCTTCCTTAGCCACCATATGTAAAATTGGTCTTTGTTATATATTTATTTCTTGCTTTGGTCTCTAAAAATTTCTGGCCTAACTTTTAGTCTTAGTATTTTTTTTTTCAACTCGTTAATTATTTTTGGTCTTCATTTTTAATGAGACCATTTTGCCCTTCAAATAAAACTTCTATTAAATAACTATATATTACATTTTTATTGCAAACAAAATCTTCCATTAAATAGGAGTGTGCAAAAAATTTAAACCAATTCGATTCATAACTAATTTGATCCATATTCCAATCCATTTTGAGAAAACTTTTGAACCAATCCACTTTGCAAAACCAATTTGGTTACCTAATCCATTTTATAAAGTGATTTGATTCAATTTTTTTTTTTTTAAAATCCAAACCATATATCTATAACAATAAATAAAAGAGATATCTTTTCCCCAACTGTTTTTGCTCTCCATTTTTAATGGATTAATTTTGTTCTTCACAATTTTTTGTAAAAAAAAAACAAACCAATTATTATTAAGTAACTATAAATTACATTTTTATTGCAAATGAAAACTTCTCATTACTATATAATTATTTTTTTTCTCCTTTCTTATCTCTCACTATGATTGATACACAATTATCTCCAAAATTCTTATTTTATAAAAAATGAATCAATTCATTTGAGTTTAGATTTTCAAAAATTTAATACATGAACACCGCTGCTATCAATTAAGTATATATTACACAATTATTCCCAAAATTATTATTCTTTTATAAAAATAATTACAAACAAATATCTCAATCTCATTAATATTAATAGGCACCAAAAAATCTCACTAATATTAAACAAAATAAATAAATTAAAAAAATAATTAAAAGTACTAATACATTATATCATCCATTAGTGTATCATAAAAAAATTATTAAATTTGTAATAAAAGAGATAAAATCTATAGTGATACCTTTCTTCTCATATGGTTTTGGCCTCCATTCTATTCTTCATTTATAATTTATAATAAGATCGTTCTGTTGAAATAAGTGTAAGTATCCATTAGAATTCTATTACACAATCCCTGCTTAGGCTGACGAACGAACCCTAGTGCGAGAGCGAGAGACTCATTTTAGATTTTACAAAAACTCTGGAAAGTGAGAGCGAGAGTCACCCATCCCTCCCGGAAACGTCGTCGTACGCAGCTGCTTCTGTTCTCCCTTCGCTGCTTTTCAGCTGCATTCCGCCACGGCAGCAGCCCCCGTGATTGTGTTGCTTTGTGGCAAGACTTGCAAACGACGTTTCTGGACTTGCGTTTTGACGCAACTATATAAAGCAAAGTACCAACGCCCTTCTTTCTTTTTCGTCCCTCGTTGAAATCGCAGTTCTTGTTCTGCTCCTGTGAAGATGACAATCGAACCCTTGGATTTGCTTCGCTCCAATCTCTCACGGGTTCGGATCCCCGAGCCAACCAATCGCATCTACAAGCATGAATGTTGCGTTTCTTTCGACACACCGGTAATCTTTTTCTTCTTTCTATCTTTCTTTCTTTCGTCTTTTTTTTTTTTTTTTTTTTTTTTTTTTTTTTTTTTTTTTGGGTTTTTTTTTTTTTTT